AAATGAAAAAGATCCAATAGACTTCGACAATATGAAGATTCGCCAAACGGCTTCATGAAAACCGGTTATTCGTCGGTACTCGACTTTTATTCGTACAAATAATGCAATTCCTTTGGATGAAATGTTTCTCGAAAGACTACTTATAAACGAAAAATAATTAATGTATTCTAATGCTAAAGAAAATGTAACTTTGCTTTAGGGACATTCTCCCCACAGAATGTGGGATTGTCCACTGGTTCGGTGAAAAAACACAATATCTACCCAAATGATTGTGGGAAAAGTCAACTATCAGCTCTTGATCATCTTAAACGAAATAGGGTGATTTACTGGTAGTCTCAGAAGCCTAATTATAAACAAGAAATTCATTTAGTCTTACCCTCTAAAATGTTTTTTTTTCACGCTAGATTGCTATGGGGTTGTCGACCCCGCTTTATCGTATCGTCAGACCTGCAACCAGCTTATAAATTCAGTCTTGTGTGCAAAATGGCGAAGCTTTACCGAGGCTGGAGAGGTCATGATCCGGCTTTTGACCCCAGCAGGTTGGTGTTGGGACCGAGGTGTGCTGGCGAAAGTGCCGTACAGTCGAGTTTGGACGGGAAAACCTTCTGCGAGACAAAGTCTTCTGTCAAGTCGAGTTGGCTCTTTCAGGTTTAATCGGCCTCTATTTCTAAAGTCTTTCATATTTTATTGTTGCTAGCCAATTGTATTCTTTAATTCTTTCCGCAGGTTGTTTGTTCTCGATCCAGACGAGTTATGGACGAGTCTGTCCATGACGCGTCACTTGCATTCCAGATCGCTTGCCATGCACCTCAAAAAAGCCCGACCCATCCACGTCGCGGAACACCGCGACCGATTTGGACACGGAACACGGAAAACAGACCTGTACCACTGCGCTACATGGACAGCACACAAATTGGCGTTGCCCATTTAATCGTGCAAATTAATGAATTATATTGTCGGGCATATTTCATGTTTAGCCATTTTGATGTGCAACCCAACTTGATACAAGAGAATATGGCCATTTGTGTAGTCCATCCAAGTCGACTGACACTCGGCTCGAAAGTGAATCAGCCAAAAAGTGGACAGACCTAATCACATTGTTGCAAAACGACAAAAGAGAGAACGGCTTCAAGTGCAGGCAAAATTTGTACATGCGAGAATGGAGGAAATGTTTTGCCTTCATTCGTGGGTGTTCGCGGGCAAGGCTCGAAAGCAGCACTGGCAGGAGACAATGAGGAGCAAGCTGAACGGGAGCAGACCGAGCAAAGGAAACGTCACAACATATTGCCTCTCTCAACAGCTCTTGCTGCTCCATCAAACATTCCAAAGGGTTCACATTATACACCTACAAGGTTCTAGAAAAGTGAACTGGAAAGCGTTGGTTTCTAAATGGCATCCAAGATGATAAAGATCTTAAGAAATATCGATACAATAAAGGGCTCAAGGTCTAAATTTCGGCTCTTCTTGACGATCTGCGCAGGATGAGTGCGGCAAGAACTCTCCAACATCATCGTTTGGCCTCGGCTGATTATGATGGCTCACTTCATAAATGCGGTTTATTCACCCAATTTCATTTATGGCGATATGGGGATGGGAAGTTGGAGTTACCAACAATCCGAAGAGTAG